AATTCTTCCATAGTTTCTCCTCTCCCAAGTGCTAGGTGCACCCCATGTTTCTCAGTCTTCCCTTGCTCTACCATAGCCCAAACCCCCTTCAAAATCCCCCCTTCTGTCTTCAAAATCAGCACCACGCCAACCATAGTATCCCTCATGGCATTCCTCATATCCTCCTCTTTCTTCCCTCTGGATAGGCTCCAGATGAGGTTTTTTTCCTTCTCCTTCCACGATCTCCACCTCCTCTTCCTCCCTACGAATTTCAGAATTTGTACTTTTTCCCTCCATTCTTTTCGCCACAAAAGCTGATGTTTGGTTCTAGATTTCTAACATCTTTTTCATAATGTCTCGTAGATCGGCAACTTGCCCTTCCATGGAGGAAATCCTTTCCTCCACCGTCATTTTAATTTGCTTCATCTTCTCTTCAAGTCTTTCCTCCAGAGCATCCACCTTTTTGGCCGCCATCACAATCCCCGAGTTTGTAAAATCACAAATTCTGGATTTGGAACTTCAAAAACAGCAATTCCCTTTCCTTCCGGGCAATTAATCACCGCTGAAATTTGCCGAAATCAGCCCTCCACCGGTCCCATGACTTGCTCTGATACCAATTTGATAGGAACCACTTGTATTCACAAGTGTTCCTAGCCAAAATCAGTGAATTGCAGCAAGGATATTGCTGTCCACAGCAGGAAAGCAGCCCAAAAACAGAGAAAACAGAGGAATTTGAGTATAAATCTGAAATAAAACCAAGCAAAACGCTTGTATTTCACTAATAGAAGAATAAAAACAGTAAGATAAAATTGATCCTCAATTCGAGAGGAGGATCGATCTCTCCCAAATCTCTAGACGCCGCTAGAGCCCAAAGAAAACCTATATCTAAGAGATCTCAAATTTCTGTCAAATTCAAGATGCCCTAACCCTAGGAAAACAAAGTATTTAATGCATACAAATCAAAAGGAATTCTCTAAATAGTCCCTAAATTCAATTTCCTTCCTAATCTTCCTCAAAATTCCTTCCTAAAATGCTCCCGCAAAGCTGGTGAATCGCGCGACCTCCGCCCAGGCGTTAAATTTCCCTGTTCCGCCCTTAAGCCAGTCCCGCCTGGACCGGCTGGTCCGGTCCAGTGGACCGGTCTAACAGTAGACAAAGCGGACCCATCCCCATGTCTAATGGCTATGTCAAACGATAATCATGGGGGTGTATTTTAAGGTGGACATGAGAGAAGAATTATTTACTATGAGAATCAGGTCAACCAAGAGGTGCTTGGTAACATCATCCACTCTGCAACAAAAAAAATCTCATTCTTGTAGAAATTGGATTGAATTTCATATCTCAGATAAGACCTTATCCTTAGAGCTGCATTCAAAAGAGGTATAAGATGAGGATTGCCCACCAATTTCAATTTTAAGTTTGCAAGACCAATGACTATATAGACGAGATATTATACAAGGCAGTTCCACTTGGCATCTACCAAGTTATAATTGGTAGTTTGTACCTACATGATAGGTATACAAGGTTTTATTATCATCCCTACTAACACAATATGGCTATAAGTGTGGAAAGAAGTACTTAATGGACTATAGAGTATCAAGATCAGAAGGCCAGTCAAACTTATAAATGTTACACACAAAATTTACTTCTACTTGTTACGCCTATTTTGAAAGTAGTTTTGCTCTTTCTGCACTGAGCAAAGCTAAAGATCTACGATTGAAGTAGCTGCTGAAGAAGTATACATCACTCTTCAAGCGGATTCAGCAACTCCACCTGCACCAAAGGGAACAGATGTTCTAGTGGTGCCTTTGTTGCAATGCCTTGCCAACCAATTCTTGGCTCTACAATCATGGCCTTACTAGCACGAATCAATGCCTGTGGGGATGTGAATAAGAGAACAGATATGATATTGTTGCCCAATGCAACAAACTTGCAATGGTTTTTCATATTCCACACTCTTGGGGATTCCAGCTTCCAAGATCCAACAATTTGGCTAATTTGCTTTAGAATTTAGCACCATAATTGCCCCTCACAAAACTACGGTGAAAATTTATTGTAGCTCCATCTAACAGCATTAGCATTCTCGCAATTCAAAGAAACATGGACGACCCTTTTACACTCTGATCATCCTTGCAGCTACTGTGTTTGGGCTTTTCTCCAACCCCAACATGACCAATTATGGAACAACGGGACAACTATCAGCTGATCGGGCTGTCCAATCCTTACTCCTGGTGTCTCCCTTCCAAATTGGCTTAAGATTAATGTTGATGGTGCCCTTATATCATTCAGATGAGTTGACCCTGGTACAATCATTTGGAATGCTAATGGTGAATTCATTTTGGCGGGCGGTAAGCAGCTCCTCCATTGGGGAACTCCTAAGTTGAACTCAAAGCTCTCCTTTACATCAAGCATAACTTGGAACCATGGATGTGGTAGGTCAATGGAATCATTATCGAAGGGAACAATGCTAATGTGATTACATTGACTTCCACACACGAAGTAATGATCAAATAGAGATAGTGAACAGAGACATAATGCATCTGCAATGAAGGTACAACCAGCATCTTGAATCATGGGGAGCAACAGTTGTCGTATTTACAATTTTCCTTCAATAGACTCGTGCACCCTCCACAATGAAGACACACTATTTGAAGTTTGCATGGAATTCTTTCTACGAAGCCTTTTTTATTTTCACTTCTTCATCACACCTACTATTGCCAATGCCGTTGAAATTGAGCAAGAAAGAGCTCAGAGATTTTTGGAGGGCATCTTCAAATTAATACATTGGCCATTACGAATGTTATTATGTTAAGGTTGACTTCAAGGTAAAAGATATTGCTTGGTTATACTTGAGCGAGGATCATAGCAAGGGAGAAAAAAACAAGTTAACATCGCTTAGGTTTGGGCTTTTTAAGATTATTGAAGACAAAGCTTATCAGCTGGAACTATCATCATACATGGAGATATAATCAAAGGAATGCCTTTTGAACCTTCCATGCTTGATGATGAACCAATTAAATTTGAAATATCTAATTTTTAATAAAAATAGTAGACAGTGATGATTCTCATATCGCAACATTAATGCTCAAAAGAACGTCACTAGGAATTCATAACGCAAGAGGAGCACGAGGATTGTCAATCATATATCATATAAGGGCAATCAAGACCCTGAAGTTGAAACGTTAGGTTAAAATTCAGATTAAAGAAAGTTAAGGATGAGATTGCATTTTTAAACTTATTTGGATAAGATTATTTTTAAATTTAAATTAAGGATTAGGAATAAAATCTATCAAAATTATATTTTAGTTTGAAGTTATCTAATTTGTTATTTATAAATAAGATTCTGCTTTTTGTAAAGATTGTTTAAGAGTAGATTAAATCTTATCATTACTGTAATTGCCTATATAAAGGCTTAAATTTTGCAGTAAATTTCTTTGAAAATTTTCCAATTCTTTTCCCTATTTCTGTTCTGCTCCCCTCTATTATGGAAATCAAAGCCTTTTCTTGAACGTCCAATCTCCAATAGCATAGCTAAGGTTGTAGGCCACACACAACAAATAACATTAACAGAGAAGATGAAGCCAAGATCCAAAGGAATATATTACACATTAAAAGGATAAGGAGATCAACAAAAGAAAGTGCAACAAACATGCTTTAAAGAGAGATAAAAACAACAACAACATCAAGTCTTTATCCCATTGCATAGAGTCAGCTATATGAATCCTTCTTCTCCATTATGTCCTATTAAGAGTCGAATACTCATTTAAATCTAATTAAAATTTTTATTTCTAATACTTTATAACAAAGTCTTTTTAGATATACATCTACTCTCTTAACATAGGCTGGATCTAATACATCCACTCTCCTAACCGGGTCATCGAAAGGCCGACACTTAATGTGACCAAACCATTTAAGACGACTCTCTCTAATATTATTTGCCACTGAAGCTACTGCAACCTTTTATCATGTGTATACTTGTTTCGCATTTTGCTTCTAAGTGTAAAGCCACTCATCCACCTAAACATCCTCATCTCTGCAACACTTAATTTAATGCTTCTCTTTCAATGGCCAAGATTTTGCTCCATAAATCATTGTAGGTCTCACCGCTATTTTATAAAATTATAAACATTTAAGGGGTACTTTTATAATTTTATAAGATAGTAGTGAAACTTGCAATGATTTATGGCCAACATGACTTCTATGCCTTAACTTATGGGTACATGCTAAGGTCACTAAAGTCAATTGTATTCTCATAATCTTCATTGAAAAACATATCAAAATATCTCATCCACCTATATCGAATATCCTCTTCTCAAAAAAATATTTTTTTAATCTTCGTTCTCAATGCACTTCACTTGAACTAGAACATGACTTCTATGTCTTACTCTTAACTTGAATAACTTGTACATCCATCTTTCACCCTCCTTAATATTTAATATATTGTATAAATCACAAAAAATTAAATTTTCAAACTTTTACATCTAAACTAATTTTTATAACAAAGCTTTTTTATTTTTATTTTTTATTTTTTCTTGATATTTTTATAAAAATTAGCTAGGTGCACACAATGCCATTAGCATAATGACTAAAGGAAGACATGCAAATTTGCTAAGTTCAAACGAGTGATCCTAAAAAAATATAACAGTAGTAAAGAAAAACACAAAGATAGGACTGAAAATATCTCTTATAATATTTATAAGCAGAATGAAAATGTGTACAGGTGGCTCAATCACCAAGCTTATCTAACAAGTTTGATGTTGCATAAAAATCATACTTTTATTCAGCCATAAGTGTGCATGTCGGACTTAAACATACATAAAGAAGCATCTGAAGATACCAGCTAGCAAAATTATAAAACACTGGATTTATTATAACACTTTTGAATGACAAATGAACACCAAATTCTTCATCATTTGCTTAAAAAGCTAAAGTCATGCAAAATAGATCAAAAAGCTACAAAGAATAAATAAAAATGTATAACTGCTATCGCTGAAAGAGGTATGAAAAAAACTAAAAGTTACCTTATATTCCGGATTATCCCGCTTACGTAGAAGATCCATGCCAAAAGCCTTTGCAGAAAAATAGTAAATATTTAGGGTGAGACAGCATGAGTAAAGCTGAAAGTATGTAGCATATTTGAAGGAGTTATAAAGAAAGCAACTCGACTAATTAGTAAAACACTTACTTTCTTATAGAATTCTATAGATCGATCAAGATCTCCCACTCTAAGCATTACTTGGCACAATGGTTCTGGTGTTGGACCTCTCTCCAAAAGTTCAAATTTGTAACCATCGGGATCTTCAATAAATGCAATGATACTTTTACCACCCTTTACAGGACCTGGTTCCCTTGTCACCTTACCCCCTTTGGCTTTTATAAGATCAACAGTTTTAGCAACCTACTAGGGACAAAGATATACACCTAATGAGATGACTCATTGAAAATATATTTCCAATGAACTTTTTTCAAATAAAGAGAAAATGGAAGAAATTATTAGAAAAATTCTAAGTTACCATATGAGGCCGTCTATTGTACACTGAAACTTCTAAAAAGGTACAGCAAGTAATCACCTTAGAACCTAAACTTCAACTACAGAAGGCCAAAGCGCAGGACACTTCAGTTGGAAATTATTGTGAGGATTTGATTATAGTGGCTTCTGAATGTTTAGACATAACGCATGATGAAATACAGACTCTGTGTTCAGCATTTTTATTAAACATGATAAGAGTGAGGTGTGGAGTTGAATAAACAGAAAAGGCTCACACCATCTATCCTAGTAATCCATTCATTGATCATGGATGATAATCTGTCAGATTCAAGGCATGCACCAAACCTACTTCAGACCATAAATTTAAATGACAGTTGCACTAGGTAATGCCTTAATATTAGTTTTTCAAAGCATATATTATCTTTGCTTTTGTATTGTCTATTGGAAGGCAAAAGTATTGATCAAATAAAACACGATAAATTAAGTGTATCCCCCTGCTCCTCTTGGTTTTGCACAGTTTAGTCCCACTATTAAGGTATCTTTGACCCGTGATTAGAAATACTTGGCGTTACCAGTAAAATTCTTCTAACATATAGAAATTCCCCAAAATAAGGCCATTGCAGAGTTCATTTTTCTCATAATATATAAAGTGGCATGAACATGTGAGAAGGTGTAACATTTCCATTTTTTGGCCAAGGAAAAATCACAAATGACAATTCACAAACTATGAGGAGTAGATTAAGAAAGTGTGAAGTAGCCATAAACTAGATACGAAATTTGTAATTGCTGCTGTATAACATGAAAACAAAATCTTACATCTTCAACTGCAACACCAAAGTGACCAAAACCCGCTCCAATATCGTATTTTTCAACTCCATAATCTGTAATGTTTTAGAAAAAATACAATAAAAAATGCAAGAAAAATAATTGAGGATTCCAATTTACCAAAGTACAAAAAGGAACGGAACGTCATTAAATACAAAGAAAAGCATTTAATAATTGAATAATGCTTCATAATAACTTGTAAAGTAGCAAGAAAATAACTTACTATAAGTGAGCTCAACAACAAAATGTGAATCTTCAGGACCATAGCCAAGGAAAGCATTTGTATATCGTTCCTCAGGGATGTCACGCTTCCGTAATAATTTCATACCCAAACACTCCGTATAAAACCTAACCACCAATCAAGAACAAGCTCAAAGGTTGCAAAATCACAGAGCTAATGAGATAAATTTGAACTAGCTACTTGTGGAGACTGGAAAAAAAGAGAATTATACTTTATTGTTTTGTCCAAATCACCCACACGATAGACAACATGAAGTAGCCTTCGATTGTCCTTCTTGGCCCATTCCAAGGCATTCTCCTGACTAATAGTAGTACTAGTTTGAGCAATGTTTCCAGTAGAACGGACTAAGACTTCTTCTGCTGCCATCCTTTTCAGTTGCAAAGGTTTTATACCAAACAATTGGGCTTGTGGTACAGCTAAACAATCATGACATAAAATATTCACAAACAATGCACAAAACATGGTAAAAAGTACATTCATTACTTCACTTCAAATTGTAAAATCTAACTAGAAAAATAGCACAAAAAGAGTATCATGAGCAACATTCGTTAGAGCATCCAAGTTAGGTACTAAATTGCATAGTGAAAGGACCACAATAGAAGCTTTGTATAATCATAAGAGGCCCTTGTTGAATCAATAAATAGATACCCAGTCAAGACGCCATGCCAGTGCCCAATCAAGCACTGTATGGGAATCAAGAGCTCATTCTTATATGAATTTTCAATATTTAAACCTTTTTATGTAAGGAACCGGGAAATAGAGCTCACCACAAGAGCACAATACTAGACATGCTATACTTAGCCTTTTTCTACCTTAAAGAGCTAACATCCTCAGGAAAAAAAAACCTCAGAATAAGTCGAGGATTTCGTGATTTCTTACGCACAGGAAATTATTCTTGATGGTTGTACTCGATTATTGGGCTTGCACGGGGAATCAATTCAGGATTGCAGCCAGGCTTCTTACACATAGATGAGAAATGAGCAAAACTCATCTTTTGACAAATGGAAGTTTAAAAGTTTGTCATCATCATTAGCCTCATCCCAACAATTTTACAGCAAATGCACCTATTTAAGTGAATTACTAGCATAGTGAAAACCCCAAACCACTCAGGAACCAAGAATCAAAAGAAAATTCCAATAAGCTACAAACTGCTGCCATTTTACAAGATTTTAAGCAGTGAATCCATACATCTTAAAAACAGAAGGCTTAACCTTTTATAAATTGAAGTAATCCCCCACAAATAGAACAAAGAAGTATGTAAATCAATAATTGAAAATGACCCCACAGCCAAATCCCTCCCGTAAAATTTGCAAGTCGTCTCCACCTCAGCAGAAGAAGAAAGTTTCATGCCACTCCCATCCACAAACATCACTCACTCACTAAAAACCTACATAACCTATCATCAAAAGATCAAAGAATGGAGAAAAAAAAAAAACAGCTCTTATCATAGAATTTGACCAACACAAGCAAACCGGCTTTCTGCAAGCCCTGCAAAAATTGGTAAACTTCACGATGGCAAACAAGTTGATAATCTTGAAATATCGAACAAGAAGGGGCTCACCGCTGGCGAGGTGGAAGAGAGCGAAACGGCGGGAAAAAAAGGAGGTTGAGGACTGACATCGAGCTGCAGCGGCGGTGAGAGGGCGGAAGGAGGCAGCAGCGGTCGCCATGGGAAAAATCCTCACTTCCAGCGGAGGAATCGTTTTGGCTGTACTCCCTCATCTCTAAATCAAGAAATAATAAACTTATACAGTCGATTCGTGAACCGTCGAGGCTCGATCCAAAAGCCCACCGCTCTTTGGATGTCATTATCGAGCGGCCTGAATTTAAAGTTAACAAAACCCTTGCATTTGTCTTCTAAGAGATTTTATAAAACTCCCAAACAAATTTTGGCCTATTTGTTCAAAAAATTATTGTAAGTTTAGTTAAGTGATCATTAAAATTTGAAAGTTAAATGATTTTTTTTGACTTTATATGCTTAATAATAAATATATTTAGACAAATATACCACAAATCTTTTTAATTAGAGAAACGTTAGTGATTATGATGACATTTTCTGTTGTGAGAGAACATTTTATAAAAAGAATGAATTTTAAATTTAAATTAGCTTAACGAGCATGCTAACAAAAGAATTTAAAAAGGAGTAAATACAGAACTTAAACAAATTGGATAATTAAGTTTGAAAACGAATAAAGTTTAAATCCTATTTTCAATGTTCGATCCTTGTTCGAAAAATTTCAAATATTAGATGCAAAATTAGATTTGAAGAATGATCACATAAATGTAAGTTTTAATAGGTATTTAGAACCTCATTAAAACCACACATAATCCCTAAATTCTAAACCCTAAAACAAAGCTCAAATGGACTCGAATAATGTGTGCATCTCATACCACCTCTTTCAATCATGTTTGAAGTATATCCAAATGAGACTTTGTCTTGTCCCATTGCAATCAACCATGAGGCATAATATAGACAAACAATCCAATTAGCCATATAAAAAAAAAATCCAATTAGTTATATTTCTTAATAACAATCATCTAATATTGAATAAGTAAAAAATTATCGAAATTAAAGGATGTATGTAGCTTTTTATAAAGGTGGTTGTAAAGTTGTTGTGAAGAGAGCAATTTTTTTGAAAGATATTGTAGAAAAGAACTTCCTAACACTAAAATTTATCGAAATTAATGAAAAAGTAGTGGTCAAATAAAAATTATGATCGTTTTCTAAAAAACAAAGAAGTAAGGAAATTATCCCAAACAAAACTTTAGTCACCGATCATCTCCTACTCAATACCTTCCAACAATGTTCGCAAGGTTTAATAAATATTCAAATAATGTTAAAACTTAATCAAATGCTGGTTGAATTTAGTTTAGACAACGTTTAAATCTTGTTTGTGCTCAACTTTTATTCAAATAATATTCGAACATTTTTTAATCTTTTCAAACGTGTTTCAAACATAATCTCAATAATGTATAATTAAATGTCTCAATAGAATGCAATCACAATAACATAGCATGAATTTAACATGACAGAGTACTATCACGACAGCTATAAAATATAATTATAATATGATTTACACAAGATTCAAACAAGGATAAGGCTAAAAAATGTTTAAAACATAGAATACAACTTTAAGACATGTATAATCTACTACACATGAAGCTACGAACTACATTTATACACAAATATTTCTATATCAAGAATCCACCAAAAGCACTTGCAAAATGAAATAACTTTAATTGCATGATCTACCATATTTGAACCTTATTCAAGCTCAATTTAAACCATATGAACCTTTAAAACTTAATACCCACAACTTATTAAAATTTAGTTCACATTCACATACAAGAGATTTAATGTATAAATATACACCATAAAATATGCCCAAATATTATAACTTTATTCAAATCATATTCAAATCTAATTTGAACCTTATTCAAATAGTTTTGAATGTCGGTTAATTTAATAGTTCCTATACATATTTTTATTTGAAACTTTATGGAAATTGAATGCTTGATATCTTTATTATGAAAGCGTAAGGACCTTCATAAAAGTTTTTGGATATTCACTAACTAATGGTGATTGTTTTATAGTATATTAATATACAATTAGAAAGTTTATGAATTTTTAATATGGAATTCTTTTTTTTTTTTTAATATGGAATGGTTATAATAGCTAGACAACATTAATCCTTGCATACAAATTCATCCATGGGCTCTAGCAAAATCCCCATCAAAATCTCCTTATATTTGTAATTAAATTATATCATTCCAACTTAAGAGAATCCATTAAATACTTGATTAATCCTTAATTTCGGCTGATTTATATGTTTGCAAAATAATTTTTTTATTTAAATATTTTATTTAAATCGTAAATGGTCAGCTTCTTTTTATTTAAAATAATTAAAATAAAACAGAGTATAATCAATTATCTTGAGAGTAGGCTTTTGAGATTGACCTAGCAATAGATATTTGTACTTGTCTTGCATCAAATTTTCACTTGTTTTGGGGGGGGGGGGGGGGGGGGGCAAAATGCCCAAAATACTTTATAAAAAAAAAATTCGAGTGTGGATCCGCCCATGCTTGATATATGTGGGGTAAACCATAGGTCCCAAAGTGTGGAGAAATTATTAGGTGTGGAGTGCGTCCGGAGATCAATAAAAATGTGCCACGTCATTTCATTGGTGGGTACCAAACTTGGTACCCGCACTCAGTGCCGTTGGGTACCACTTGGTACTGCTAGATACTGAGAACCGTCCACACTCCGCACTTAATAATTTCCCCAAAGTGTGCGCCTATGATTGTATAAGCATAATAATTTTGAGACATTCTAGATCTTGCCAGACTTACTATTATCTCCATATATGTAAGCAATTTATGAAGGCCACAAACTTCTTCAAACTTTCCCCTATCAATTCATCCCATTTATTGCCTATATGGGTCACCTATGCTTGCTCGGGCCACCCACTAGTTTAGCAAATGATAATGCCCATTTTATTGGATTTGTCAGATGAAATTGCAACAATCACATTTTTAATTTATAGCCTGTAAACTTTCGAAACATAATGCAATGCTGAAAAGTATGACAAGATGAACTCGAGTGTTAAAACACGATATATCTCTCTCTGAATTTTTATTAGATATTTTGGATCTATTGTTCAGAATGATGGTGAAATAAATGAGAATATTATCAGCAGAATTCAAATTGTATGAATGAAGTGGAGGAATATATCGGGTTTGTTGTGATAGAAAAGTCTCCCATAAACTTAAGAGAAAATTCTATAAAATGGTGGTGGGACCTGCAATGCTTTATACTGTCAAATGTTAGCCATTAAAAAAAAAACATAATACTAAATTAAGTGTTGCAGAGATGAGGATGCTCAGATGGATGAATGGCTTTACCCTTAGAAATAGGATACGAAATAAGCATAAACATGAAAAGGTTGGAGTAGCTCTGTGAAAGATAAGATTAAAGAGAGTCGCCTTAGAAGATTTGGTCAAATAAAATGATAGCCTTCCAATGACCCGATTAGGAAAATAGAGGTATTATATTTGACTTATTTTAAGAAAGGTAGAAATAGACCTAAAAAAACTTGGAAATTATCTTTCTTTATTAGATTTAAACGAGAATTTGACTTTTAACAAGACACAATAAAGAAAAAAGATTCATGTAACTGACCCCACGTAATAGGACAAAGATTTATGTTGTTGTTGTATTGAAGCTTTAAAAGGAACATAGTGCAGTCTTCAGATTAGTAAGAACATATTTTATCAAGCACTGTGATCAGTATTCCTATTAAGTAATATATTCATACACTTATATGAGTCAAGTTTTACATTTCCATATGCTTTTCATCATTTATACATTATTGAGGTTCACCAAAGCAGAAATCTAAGCAGAAAAATCAGTCACAAGCCATATCAATCCAAGTTTCACTTCACTAAACAATCAGCCAACAATTTCCCTTTCATGACACTATAAAACTTCTCATTCCACTTACACAGTTGAAGCACATCAAGTAAAAAAAAAAGATACAGATATGTTGCCCGAAGCGAAATGGAGACATTAAAGAAAATAAGCAACTATATATTTATGAAACAAAACATGGCATCAACCACTTCATACTAAACAGGTGGCCATTAAGGACACTGAAACCCGTAGTAATTCTTGCTTCACTGACCATGTACAGATCAATCTTCTGGAGCTTCTATATTGTACTGAACATGTCATGAAGCACACTCTTTCGAAGAGCTTCGGGTGATCCTGCGTACAATGCCCTGGTGCACAACCTTCCTGCGTTTGGAGGATTGCTGTACAGATCCAGATATTTTGCTCCTTTTAGGCTGAATAACATCGTTGTCTAAGGAAATTACCTCAACCATCTCCGAGTCATGAAAATGGGGATCGTCTTTAATAGCTTCATTGCTTATTTCGTTCACAATATGGTTCTCCTGATCATCAGAGACTTCTTCGGCTCTCCTCTTCTTTTCTAGAAAATGCTCAGCTTTACCATTCTCAGTTAATGAAGTATCAGGATTTTCACACTCTTCTTCATGTCTTGTTTCAGTATCATTTGTGTAAGTTTCGAGAAATTTTTCATCATTATCACACTCTTCATCATGGCTCTTAACCTCCAAATTACAATCATCTATTTCCAGTGAATTTTTCAGGTATTCTTTAAGATTCTCATTAGATGTATTAGGGCTATCTGGCACAAAAGCGCCATCATCGACAACTGGTGCAAGCTTTTGAGGTACATCTACATCTGTCTCATTTGAGATAACAAGTTGGCCGTTCGATCTTGTAGATAAATTATCTACAATTTCCTCCTGTACTTGGTCAGAGATAGAGGGCAATTCAGAAGATCCCACATTGTTCACACAATATGACGCCGAACAGATCTGAGAAGTTGGGCTACCAACATGTGGTTGGCAACCATTTTGGTCCTTGATCACACCAACTAGATTATCTGAAGACTCTTCATTCCCTTCCCCAAGCAGATGCTCTGTTGTGCTAACTTTGGCATCCCCAAGTTCCTGATTTACAAGCAGCATAAGAAATAAAAACAGGATGTGTGTATATCCAACAATAGAAAGAAAAAAAAAAATCTACATTATACTAACATTTCAGTTATTATAATTTCAAAAATACAGGGCTGCTTTACTTTTTCTTTTTAAACTTTAGAATATAAATAATAAAGCATTGATATGTGTAAGAGTCATTTATCAAATTCTTTGGGTACACACAAATACTCTTCAGTTCTCAAGAAAGCTCATCCTATTTAAAACATTTTAAAAAAAAAAAACTTCTGATACCATGCCAGAAATGTCAAATGTTGTTTCCTATTTAAAGCACTTGAGATGAATATAAAAGATTTAAAATTTAGGTAGATTATATGGATATAATAAACTACAACAACATCAAGTCTTTATCCCACTACGTGCGGTCAGCTACATGAATCTTTTTTTCTCCATTGTGTCCAGTGAAGAGTCAATTTCTCATTTAAATTTAATAAAAAAATATCATTTCTAATATTTTCTAACCAAGTATTTTTAGGATTACCTTTACCTTCCTTAAGGTAAGTCAAATCTAATACATCTACTCTTCTAATGGAATCATCAAAAGGCCGTTGTTTTACATGACTAAATCATCTAAGACTATTCTCTCTAATCTTATCTTCCATTGGAGTTACTCCAACCTTTTCACGTTGATGCTTATTTCAGATCCTATCTCAAAAAGTAAAGCCACTCATCCACCTGAGCATCCTCATCTTTGCAACAGTTAAGTTAATATTATGCTTCTCTTTTAATTCAAATTCAATTTTTTTGAAGCCAAAGGAGAGGGCGGCAAGAGCAGATTTGACCTATGGGGCTTAATTGATTAATTGCATGCTTTAAGTAGGAAGGAAAGATTAGGGTTAGGGTATGCTTTGTTTTGGTGGCTGATTTCCGAAGTTCTTGACTTGGTTTCTTGGGCCCTAGATTCGTTTAGGGATTGGGAGAGAACGTTCCTCCTCTCGAATTGAGGATCAATTGTATCTTGCTTTATTGCTTATGTTGTTTGATTTCCACCATAAAAAAACAATTGTTTTGTTGTTTTTTCATTAGATTCATGAAGTTTTCTCACTGTTTTCATCAATCTTGTTAGGGTTTACTTGAAATATTTAAGTATTTTCACTCAAATTAGTATTAGAGCAGATTTTGGGACCATTTTTGGGCTGTTTTCGAAAATTTCAGTGGCTGTTTTTTGTCCGAAGGAAGAGTTCTTACTATTTTTTGGGGTCAATATCCAGATTTTTGAATATATAAAAAAAAAACCCGAGTATTGATGGCAGCCAAGAAGGTTGATGCGTTGGAAGAACACCTTGAAGGGGAGATGAGCCAAATGAAAAAAATGGTGGAAGATTGAATCGTTAGTAGAAGACAAAATTTTCGATCTTCATGCGATGGTGAAGAAGCTATTGGAAAATCAAATTCAAACGGCGGCATCGGAGATAAATGGACCGATGGGAAGAACTACGAATTCTAAATTTCGTAGGCGGAAAAATGATGTAAAGATCATTGAGGAGAAAGGAGGAAGGTATGAGAGAGGCATGGATATAGGGGGCATGAATCAAGGGGTACTTGTTGGGAGAGAAAAGAGGGAACTTATGATGGGAGGGGTGCTGATTTTGGAGAAAGAATGGGAGAAAGTGAAGAGGGGTTTGAAGATGAGCGAGGAAGGGAAAATTGGGAAATTTGGGAGAGCCGAGCACTTGGGAAAAAAGAAATTATGGAGGAATACGAGGAAACGGGAGAGATCCAAAGGTCAGGAATTTGAAGATGATCATTTTTGAAGGGGAAGCTCTGATGCACCGATACTTCGTTTTAAGACGGTATGCAGTGTCGGACACGGACACGCGTCCGACACGGCGAGGACATGCGTCAGACACGTCACTAGTGTGTCCCATTTAAAAAAAAAAAAATTAAACCGGACGTGGAATAAATAAAAATACCCTAATCCCGCTATTTCATATTAGCCAGTTCACGCCCGAGTCTTCATCTTCTCCTTAACTCTGTATTCCTATTCATATTCGTGGTCTTCCCGAGCGAATGAGACGAGCAGCGGTCGGCTGGAGATCGCACCCTTGGTCTTCCCTTCCGGCCATAAGCAACAAGCCATTCTCCTTAGTTTCTGGGCGCAACCAAGGGAAGCCGACGCCAAACCGCAAAAATTTTTTCAAACATGTAAGTTGATTTCGTCATTTTTTTTCTCCATTCGTCATTTCTCTTCATTTATCAATGATTCTGTAGATTGGTGATCAGAAGAGCATATTTTTTAAAAGTATTTTATTTGTTTTAGATTAAAATTATTCTTACAATAAAATTTATTTATTTAATGCGCTTTAACTGCGTTTTAAGTGCGCTTTCACTCTTTACAATAAAAATTTGTTTCGTGAAACCCCCGCAAGGGTGCTGCCCCTTGACCACGCGACCTGATCGGGCAAGTAGAACCCCGCCAGGGGGAAGCGCCCCCTTGGACCCCCGACATAGTTGCAATTTTTTAATTGTTTTTCGTCAGATAGTCATAACGCATGATGCAATAGTTCTTTAATTATTTTTTTTTAACTTTGTTTGGCAATTTGTAATTATTTTACAGTAAGTCTTTATTTATTCTACTTCACCAGTGAATTTAAAAGCAAAATAAGCTCTAGTGCTGGTGGGAGTGGTTCAAAAAAGTCATTCGTAGAAACTGATAAGCCATTATAGATTCATGTTACAAAGTTAGGAAAAACTTTTGAAGGAGGGAATGTGTTATTCAAATGCAATTATTGTGTTGGCATCTACAAAGTATCTTATTCTAGGGTGAAAGCACATCTACTTAAGATTTCTGACCATGAAATTAAAATGTGTCCTAAGATTACTACGTCACAGTTGATTGAATTGAATAGACAAGTTGATGAAGCTGAATCTTGGATCAAAAGGGCACTTCCTAAAGAGATATCTTTGTCATCTACCCATGATTCATGTCACAATTATTCCTCATATGTTAGAGTTGATCATTCATTATCATATAGAAGTGAAGGATATAATTCAAAGAAAAGAAAAGGAGTTGCCAGTGGTGCTTTAGAGAAGGTTTTTAACATGCAACAGCGAGAAGAATTGGATGGTGAAATTGCAAGGATGTTTTTTTCAACTGGACTTCCTTTCAACCTTGCAAGAAATCTTCATTACAAAAATGCATTCATTTTCTCATGTAATAACAACCTTGTAGGTTATGTTCCACCTAGCTACAATGCATTAAGATCAAAATTATTGGAGAGGGAAAAACCACATATTGAAATATTGTTTGAACCAACAAAAGGTGTGTGGAAAGAAAAATGAGTCACTTTGATGTGTGATGGTTGGACTGATCCTCAAAGAAGGCCACACATTAATTTCATGGCCGTTACAAAGAATTGCACAATGTTTATTAAAGCTGTGAATTGTGAAGGAGAATACAAGGATAAATATTTCATTGCCAATTTGATTAAAGATGTGATAGTCATTATTGGGCCTTCAAATATTGTGTATATTTTAACAGATAATGCACCGGTGTGTAGAGCTGTAGGATTGTTGGTGGAGCAAAGTTCCTCATATATTTTGGACTCCATATGTTGTGCGCACTTTAAATCTTGCTCTAAAAAATATTTGTGCAGCAAAGAATACAAAGGCAAATGAAATCATCTATGTTGAATGTTATTGGATAACAGTGGTTTCAGATGATGCTATTTTGATCAGAAATTTCATTATGAACCACTCAATGTGACTTTTAATGTTTAATGATTTCTAATATTTGAGAATGTTAGCTGTTGATGAAACTCGTTTTGCCTCTGTAATAATCATGTTGAGAAGATTCAAACAAATAAAAAATGCCCAATCTATGTTGATTAGTGAGAAGTTATCTTGCTATCGAAAAGATGATGTTGGGAAGGCAAGATATGTGAAAGAAAATGTCTTAGATGATTTGTGGTGGGATAATGTAGATTACATTGTATCTTTCACTGGTATAATTTATGACAAGTTGAGAGAGGTTGACACAAATAAATCATTCATACATTTGATTTATGAGATGTGAGACTCTATATTAACAAAAGTGAAAAAAATTATATTCAGACATGAAAGAAAATCATATAATGAAGACTCAAGTTTTTGGAGCAGTCTATACCATTCTTAAGGATAGGTGGACCAAAAGCAACACACCTCTGCATTGTTTGGCCCATTCATTAAATCCAAGATACATTTATATTCATCTTTTAAATTAATTTTAAATTTCTTGGTAAATGATTAAATAATTTTATATGTTTTACATTATTTGAAGGTATTCAAATAAAGAATGGCTTCAAGAAGACCCTCAACATGTCTCACCATAAAAAGATTTAGAAGTGTCAAATATGAGAAAGATATGCTTGAAACGATATTTCCCAAATGAGAAGATAATGAAAATTATTATATAACTTACAAAGTTCTTTGGATATTTAGAGGATTTTGGTGATCAAGAATATTTGGTTGATAGATGAATGATGGATCTAAAAATGTGGTACTTGATTCATGGAGCTTCAGAACCGCTTCTTCAAACTATAACAATAAAACTTCTTAATCAAGTATCATCCTCTTCCTGTTGTGAGAGAAATTGAAGCACATATTCATTTATTCAATCAATAAAAATGAATAAAATAACTCCACAACGGCCTGAAGATTTAGTTTATGTGCATACAAATCTTCGTCTTTTATCAAGGAAAACCCCATTTTATATGACAGGTGATAACAAAATGTGGGATGTTGCTGGAGATGGATTCGAGTGCCTTAATGATATGGGGTTATTGGAGGTTGCAAATCTTTCTCTAGATGAACCAGAGTTGGAAGCAATGATATTCAATGATGATGATATTGAAGTCCAAAGACCAACCTCTGAATCTAATTCTATCATTCCCTCTATTAAGCAGTTGGACCTTCATGTTGTACTAAATGGTTTTTTGCTTATTTTTTTGTGGCTGTACTAGATATTTTTGTACTAA